GGAAGAATTTTAGTAAATAGCCATTTAGATATGTTCTTTTGGGTTAAGTATTATCTGGTTAAGTATGCCCAGAAATTTCATATTTCCAGGCTACATCTAAAGATTTTTCATAGTGGAGGCGCCCCAGATCCCCACCATCAAAAGGGGCCCCTCTCATGCTCACCCCCAACTCTCGCACCGTCAGGGCTCAGGAATTGCTTTTAGCAAGGCATGACTCCGCTTTCATTTGATTCAGGGTTGGCATCTCTGGTGGTCCCGCTATGCGCGCTGGTGTTCAGATTGGGGGATTGCAGATCCCTTTTCTGCGGATTTAGTCCGAGTATTGGAGTTTTTGCAAGCTCGTTTGGAAGAAGGCTTGGCGGCTTCGACCATTCGTGGCTACTCCACCGCTATTTCCACTTTTCACCCCCCTGTTGATGGTGCTCTTCTGGGGCAGCACCCTCTCGCATGGCAGCTTTTAGCTGGTGCCGATCGGGTTCGAACCTGCTGTCAGGCGAACCAGCCCACCTTGGGATTTGTCAATTGTGCTCGTCCTACGTTCTCACGTCTATCGGCTATTTCCATTCAGTTGTTAACCTGGAAGGCTGTATTTCTGGTGGCGGTAACATCTGGGCGTAGGGTTGGTGACTTACATGCTATGTCATCCGACCCGGCGCTGACTGTGTTCCACACTGATCGTGTCAGTATTCGCCTCCCGGATACTTACCGCCCGAAGGTTGATCACTCTTTCCATGTGACAGCTCCTATCGAACTTCCTACTCTTACCCAGCCTTCCACATCGGGGACCTCTCCTATGAGCACTCACCCGTTGGATGTCCGTAACACTCTCAAGGTCTATCTCAAACGAACACAAGGGATCCGTACGGGTACCCATCTGTTCTGCTGTTACGGTGGCGGGAAGGCTGGGGTGCCGGCGAGCAAGCAGACTTTGTCTCGCTGGCTCGTCTCGGTCATCTGTGCTGCGTATCAGGCTAAGGGCAAGCCTCCCCCTGAGGGGTTGAAGGCTCACTCAGTCAGGGCAGTAGCCACGTCAAAAGCTTTTGCATCGGCACTCCCCATTGAAGAGATCTGCTCTGCCGCTATTTGGAGCCGGCCTAGCACGTTTATTCGGCACTATCAGCTCGATACACATTCTCGTAATCTGGCGAGCTTTGGCCGTTCTGTTCTCTCCAGTGGACAGTGTCCTGCCACCCTGACCAAGTGAGTCTTGGTTCATTGGTTTTGTTGACGCTGCTGTTCAAAATTGTGTTTTGTTGACATGTCCGCTGCTGGGTGTATAACCTCTTTTCGATCCTCTACAGAGACTATGGTCGGTCGTGAGCGTTTTTTCCCCCCTACGGTGCTCTCTAATTGACCACAAGGTGGGTGGGGTTTATTTACATTCGCACCATGTGCGAATTCTTATGCTAACCTGCGAGGTTGTCTATGAGTACCTTTCCTCCTGTCGATTACCCTCCCATAATGCCTCTCGCGGAAGCACAAACCGGGACATGTGACAGGTGAGTGATTATGGCGTCTGTTACATTATTCAGATTAACGATCGCTATTTGTGTGTGCTTTGACAGAATTCCCTCCTCCCTGGCCTCCGGTCTTTGGGAGTCTGTGTTTATGCATAATATGTACCCCAAGGACGATCTCTATGAAAAAGAATTAACCAAACCTGAAGAGGTTTTCAATTCTTTGAAGAGAGTCGTCCTTGGGGTAGGGCCTCCCGCCTCCCCGCAATTCTGTTCACTGATTTATTCAGCAGAAGGAATGATGATACGGGCCTAGGTGCTTACCCAGTTGGTGCGCATGCTCAACGGGAGGTAACTCTACGAGGTGGGGGCAGATAATAAATAAAAGATTTTTATTTATTGTACAATATTTTTATTCAAAAACATTGATACAACTGTCTCAGGACATTTTCAGCCCGGAAAATGCATAATATGTACCCCTAGGACGACTCTCTTCAAAGAATTGAAAACCTCTTCAGGTTTGGTTAAGTTTTTGTTAATGATAATGAAATAATAATGTTGGTAAGACTAAGAAAACATTTTCAGCCAATGTTGAAGTGTTGAGATGAGTTGTTAATGAAATTTGAGCCACATTCCAGTCCCCTTGTCTTTCAGAATCTGTTGAAGGCTGCCGCAGAGCATTCTGAGAAGAAAGATTCATTGGAGGAGGAGCTGGAAACTGTCAGAGGTTCGTAAGTGAAGGTTTACGACTGGGAATGAGATCTTGGTTGGTGTCAGTAGACCTGAGAAGGGATACGTCAAAATGTCAGAGAGGTATAAGTTTGAGGTTTTACTCTTTTTCGCCTATCCTCCAGGTCGTACTCTTCATGAATCAACATATAAACCACCATCATCTTAAATGTTAGCAAGCAATAATCAATTGTTTTATATGTTTCATAAATATATCATGTTGACATTGGCTTATCTAATGATAATTAATATGCATTTAAGGGAGGTAGGGTAGATTAGTGGTTAAAGCAAGTTTGATTCCATGCATGGGCACAATGTGTGAACCTAATTCCCAGTGTCCCCTACTGTGATATTGCTGGACTATTGCTAAAAGCAGCATGAAACCCCACTCACTCACTCAGTAATATGTACTTCATGTGCACCAGTTGATGGGCAATATGCGTGGTCACCAACAATGTACTTTTCTTTATCACCTGCCCCAGTTACTCATTGAGAAAACACGGAGATAAAGTAATACACATGTGCTTTCTTTTGTATCTAGGTAATACAGCCACTGAGAGAAGTGCCAAGGTGAAGCTCAACCTGGAGGTCCATGCCCTCCGAGACAAAGCCAGAGAAGACCAAGAAAGGTAACAAATATCACATATTTTTACTTATCCTGACTCATGATCTTTTGCTATCTCCCTTTCCCTTGCTAATGGTAGTGGAACACTTGAATCCCTTGAAGTTCCTGAAGCGGACGTAAAAATACACTCACCCAAGAGTTGCCTCCCTTTTGCCCTTTCCCCGCGCAAACAGTCAGGTGACCTGCCTTACTTTTCACTCTCTACCTTTTCACCCAAGCGGATGGTTGGTCGAGTACTGGAGTCCCGTATATGGCATTTTATCCTTTTTTATTTAGGTCCTATTCTTCAAAATTACGCAGTATATGGATTTGGCTATAACTACTATTTCGTACTTTTGTAGAAATTATTTACATTTGAGTTGTGTTTTCATCGTCATGTAACCTTGTTTACATTTCATGAAATCTTGCAGTGTTTGCAGGCACAGGTTATCCGTGGCTGATCCTCAACCCCAGTGCCCTTCGTGCATAAAACCATGTTTTTCCAGCTTGCGCTGTACTTATTGTGTTGATTTATCAAATCTACAATTTAATCAATATTTGTCCTATATCTATAGACGTGCCATGGATCAGGTGAGAAAATCATCTCAAGTCACGGTTGATAAAACTGGAGATCAGCCATCAAACCGTATGTTGCTTGCTACTTCTGATGTTCATAATACTGGTGCTATGTTTAGTGCGTTACAGTTTGCTGGTAAGGGGACCAAGAAGAGATCGTCTACAACGCAGTCGACTCCGTCTCAGGCTAAGAAAAAGACGTCATCCTCTTCTACAACGCAGAAGAAAGCATCTGTTACCAGATCGGAGGGCAAATCTACGCGTGCTAGTAAGTCAACGCAGCAGAAATCCTTCAACGAAGAGATATTACCTCCACAAGAAATAGACGTCTTTGATGACCCCCCATTACTTCTACCCGAAGTATCTAGGAAATCAGCGAATCAATCGACCTCTACAACTACTAGATCGTCCCCAACAACGGAACAGCAGGACAGCTGTTTGACGAACTACCACCTACTTCTCAACGGAGTGAAGTTGAGGCACAGAACTCAAAAGCGTTGCGAACGCTTACGTCCCTACACCACAGCAGCTTCAACCTATGCAGAACTTTGACCCGGGCGAATTTATGAAACAATTCACCAACCAGATGATGGCCATGAAGGAACGTAGGTTCCAGGAAGAAGCGAAGGCTAGGAAAGCCTCTCATCTTCCGACACCGTCGCGAAACCTACGGACCTGTCGCGAACCTACTCCTCATAGAACTACGTCTCAAGACTACATTGGCGTAACGTACACCTTTGCGAAGGTCTCCACAGTCAGACGACTCTGTCATCTTGGAAAATGATAGAAGAGATGAGATCCCTACTCACACTTCTACATCCGCGAACCCTCAACGTTCTAGAACATTGAAGGATCCATCTCCTACACCTAGCCGCTTCTAGATCGAGATCTCATATCTCTCTCACAGACGTTCGCGAAGTCACTCATCACGAGACAGAGGTTCGTGAAGAGAAGGCTCACATCGTAGAGGTGATGAATCTACAGATAGAGGTTCGCGAAGATAGGACTCTCAAGACAGACGTTCGCGAAGGAAGGAATCTTCAGTTCGTGAAAGGATGATGGAGGTTCGAAAAGGGATACAGGTTCGCAGAAGGATGATTTCGCGGAGGCACAGCTCTACCGATCAGGAGATAACTGATGAATAACCAGACTTCGTCTTCCCGGACTCAGAGGTTACAGATTGGATAGCCAATGGTTTGAACTTGGAGTCTCCTTCTAAGGATATAGATGAAGTCTACACTTATAAGATGCGTAATGACGACTTTGACTCCGTGACTATTCCTCCGATTGAACAGGCAGATAACAGCAACGCAGCCATCTACAGGGTTCGCGAACCCTAGGGTTAACAAACCCTTACATCAACAGGCAGGATGTTGACGTCGACTCTATTACCTTACGGCTGAATAAAACGAAGCAATGATGAAAACGGATGGTTTTGTCAGAGTTAAAAACTCAACATAAAGATCTATAACATGTGCGATCTCTGCCTGCACAACTCTACAACCAGCACAAACCTTATACCTGTATAGGTTCAGTTTCGGACGACAACCTACTTGATGAAAGGAATCACTTCATCTATACGGATGCTGAGGTCTTATACCGTATAGCAGATGGCCTGCGGATTTCGTCGTTCACTCACTCACTCCAACCCAATAGAGACGTACTGCATATACGCTGATGACTTCGACTCCAATATGATATCACCTATGTAGCCGATATCTCAAGTACTGGAGAAGCTCAAGGCGACCTTTGTAAAGGGCTTAAGGTTAACAACGCCTTCAAGTATCCTTGAACGGACGTACAGATGATATATTTTTCCTTATCCTGACTCATGCTTATTGCTTGTCTTCTTCCTCTTGCGAACCTAGTGGAACACTTGTATCTCCTTATTGAAGCTCCCTTCGATAAAACATACGTAAAATCACTACTCACCAGAGTTATCCCTGTTTCCGTTTTGGCGGGAAAAGTGGCGCCACTGTTCTCCCATGCTTCACTCTCCTTCTTCGCCCTGTGAGCAGGTTGTGAGAGCGCCTGTGTCTCCTATACGGCACTATATCCTTTTATTATTTAGTTAGTCCCCCCTATTATACTTTATAGAGGTTTAGCTAGTGTCTTTCAACAATATGGTTTGATATTTAATTGTATTTAGCACTGTTTATTCACGGTTTAGTCCGTGTTTGTTCAGTGTTTACGTTTTCATGAAAACCTGTTTCAATTGTAGATTTCGTTTCTCTGCTGCTGACCCTCATCAACTGTGCCCTAGCTGCACGATACCGTGTTCTTCCAGCTTGCGCTGCATTAATTGCCAGCATTTAAATAAATCTGCATTTAATAAATACCTTCTTTGTGTCCTTAGGCGTGGTGCAGATAGGTCGAGACGGGTTGGTCAGGTCATGACAGATAAACCAGCTGAGTCCCTCACCAGTCAACTGATGTCTGACGACTCTCTTCCGTCTGGTGTTACGCTGGAGTTTCCCTCGGCGGAGGGGCGTGGGACGGTGTCCGCCATCTCCAAGAAGAGACCTGCTACTCCAGACGTCCCTTCGTCGCAGCCTAAGACTAGGAAGTCGTCATCTACCCAGCGCCGGCTCCGCACCCCCAGGGCGTCGACTACCTCCACGGGGAAGTCAGCGCAGACGACACGGACCTTCTCAGCCGAGATTGTCCCGTTGACGGAACTGGGACTCTACGATGACCAGCCGATCGTCATCCCAGAGATTCATCACAAGAAGAGACCAGTCTCAGCTATGGTGACTTCAGCGCAGATTTCCACGCAACCCGAGGTATCTACGCTGATGACAGAGGAGCGATCCATGGGCCACATCGCTACCACCGCAGAAAGGGCAGTGCTACTACCACCGCAGACATTCAACCCGGGGGACTTCATGCAGCAGTTTTCCCAACAGATTATGGAAATGATGGAGCAGCGCTATAGCCTGGAGAAGAGATCACACGCCAGCCCACAGAGATGACCCGAGCCTTCGTGAAGGTTCCAACGCAGTCGACGCTTCTGAGGGGCCATCCATCAACATGACGCAACAGATCTACTCTTCAGGACCAGCCTGCACGAAGATCGATTCAACCATCCCCTGCGGCGGACTCAGACGATCAGCATCCGCGAAGGCACTCACAAAGGACGACTCGGTCATCCCCTGCTACGGATTCGGACGATCAGCATTCGCGAAGGCACTCTTGAAGGAAGCCATCCCCGGATACGGAATCGGACGACCAGCATTCGCGAAGACGCTCGCGAAGGACCAGTCGCCTATCCCCAGATGCGGACTCAGATGATCAGTATTCGCGAAGGCACTCGCGAAGGGCTACAGATACAGTACCCAAGACATCTTCCGCATCACGCAGATCGTCGAGGGATTCACCGAGGCATTCACGAACCCACAGTCACTCATCTCCGCGCAGGTCTCCGCGCAGGTCACCCTACAGACGCAGATCGTCGGGCCACTCTCCACGCCGATCTCCGCGCAGGTCTCCACGAAGGTCGCCCCGCAAGTCTCTGCACAGGTCTCCGCGCAGGTCTCCACACAGATCCCCGCAGTCACGAAGGTCTCCACCTAGATCATCATCGGAGGAGGATCAACGTCACTCACTCAGCACTCCTGTCACTGAGGACGACTGCGGGATCATCTTCTCGGACTCTGAAATACGCTACTGGATGGCCAACGGTCTAGACTTGGCGTCACCCTCTAAGGACGATAATACGGCTCATACCTATCTCATGCAAGATGATGATGTTGACACGATCACTCTCCCTGCGATGGATCCCATCGCAGCGGTCCCAGACAACTTGGACGCAGCCTTCAAAAAAAGCCACGAAAGCCCAGGCGCCGCATCTGCCACAGTTCAACGCCAAAAAGTTCTCTTCCCACAACATGGATCAGATCTCAAGGGCACAGGACATCGATGAGAACTTTAAAGTCATCAGTGATGCCAAGGCCAAGTCTTACAAAATCGAAGACAAGAAGTTCGCACAAGTCGAGACTATGACCAGGCGGATGTTCTCCGGCCTCAACAGATCAAGGGCAGTCAACGAAACGCTCATCACTAAATTCCGAGACTCTACTGCGGAAGAAGACAGGATGATATACTCGGCCCTCCTTATGCAGAAGAAGGACCAACAGTTTATGACAGACCATCTCTCATCCATCTCCGCAGCGCTGACACTAGCACGTCGACAAGGTCTCCTCGCCTCCTGCAGTTGGAATGAGCGCTTCACCAAGTCACTCTACACAGCCCCGTGGTCAACTCCTTCCATCTTCGCTGGAGAGATCGACGAGGTTGCCAAGGAAGTTACCAAAGACTCTAGAGAGGTCCTCATGATCAGATCCATAGATACTCTGGCCAGCGTCATAAGGCAGACATCCCAGCGCTACTTGGGCAGGTCCAAGTTTCCCGGGATACAGAAAGCACGGGACAAGAAAGTGGGTACCTACA